TTATTAATTATATGCCAACATATGATGTTTATTATGCTGTAACTTAAGTTATATTAAAATAACTTTTAAGTTATATAAAAATTAAAGACACTGAAGAGAAAGATGGTCTTAAATTTAAATAATTTATAAGTTCAAAGACAAATCAGGGACTCTTCCTCTCCTTCTTTTCATGAGGCTACCCACAATACATTGTCTTTATCTTTAAAGTTAGCAGACATCAACATTGCAAAATAGCTGCTCTGAACTTTACATCTGCACCTGACAATGTTTCTTAACCAATATCTCTCTTATACATGAAAAATTTTCTTCAGAAGTCTTACAGCAGATCCCAGCCCCCATATCTCATTAACCAACATTGCATGTTAAGCTGGTTGTCTGCATCAGATGGTGAGTGATGTTGTGCCACCAGATTGGCTCAAGGCAATCACCCTCTTCTCTTCTGAGTCTTCTAGTTGGGCAGAAGAAGGTAGAAGCTAGATAAATAGAATTCTACTGCAAAGGATGATGATGAGGACAGAAATTGGTTAGGCATTCTTCAGGGCTGAGACAATTTCCTTTCCCCATGTTTGGATTTGTTTCCAAATAGATTGGAACCTCTCTGTACCATGTTTCAGATTTTCTCTTGTTTGACACTGAGCCTACCACACCACTTCTAGTAAAGTAGGTGCTTCATAAAGATAAAATCAAATATTAGTTTTATGGAGTTCAGCCTCTGTGAATCATCAGAAGGGGTGTAGAAATCACTGTCATACACAGAATTCATTGTCCCAGGACTTGTGATATAAGAACTCTTCTCTTCAGAGGGATTCTTCTGTGCATTCTTCCTGGAAAAGCACTCATCACCATGACAACTGGAAGAATCAGGACAAAGACTCTGGCACCTTGATCAAAGCTACAAACTTACAAAGTTCTTCTTCTTTTGTGCTGTGCTGAATCTTTTAGGAATATCCTAATTTGCATAGGGCTGGTAATTAAGACTAAAGCTCGTGGCTCTGGTGATAACATTTGCATGATATTAGGTGACTTTGGGCCTTAAATATTTCTCCTGAATTTTTTTTTTTTTTTTTTTTTTAGTTTTTACATACTGACTGAACATTTGTCTTTATTTTGCTGTATATCTAAAATTCCATCATTAGAAGATCATCTCTTTACATTAAAAAGCTTCTTCCTTTTAATATGCTCAAGGCTTTTAGCACATGAAGACAGAGAACAGTCATCATCTGTTTTAGAATGAATTAATTTAAAGTGATGTAGTCACTGACTCCTGGTGTTGAAATCTACCTGTCTTGGTGGCCAGCTCACAGGGTGGTACAGGAAACACTGGAATTTTAATTTGTTAGGAAGTAGGGGGAGGGCAGTGATAATATATGTAGACAGTCATTTCCAAATATGACTGTGCATCAGTAATATATGAGTAATGGCTTTTAAATATAGAATCTTGAGCCCCAATCCGTGAATACTTCTCTAAGACCAAACATGGATGAATCAGGTGTAGTTAGACTACACAATGGTACATACAGATGTATGTATAAGGCTTTGGAGTATATGTGTGTGTACATGTATGTAGTGTGTACCAGTGTGTGTTTTTGTGCAGGAAGAAGTAGACAGTAGGTAGGTTGCATTCAGACAGTGAAGGACTTTTAATGACATGCCAAAAAAAATTTGAACTTTACCCTATGTCAGAGGGAAAGTCATCAAGTGTGGAGTAATTGGACACAGATAAGTGTTTTAAAAGACAACATTGGTGATAATGAGGAGAAGGAACTGGAAGTATAAGAAAGTAAAATAAGAAAGTCAGTTTAAAAGCTCCAGTTGTCCAGATACCACAAGAAGAGGGCTGGAACTGTGTTGGTGGCTGAAGTTAGATGATTGGTGGAAGAACCAACAGAATCTCAAGGTAGATTATGAGATTGAAAACATGGGGACAAATTTCTGGGGTCTCTGCAAGACAGTACTACCATTAAACCTTAGTAGACAACACAGGAGAACATTGAAGGATAGGTGATGAATTCAATTTAGGCAATGTTGAGTCTGACATGTTTACAGGACAGGTGGACAGAAAACTTGGGGGGGTTGATGGAAATACTAATCTGGAATTTGGGAGAGGAGTGTGGATGGAGATCCTGACTTGGGCATGATGCTGACCCAGCGAGCAACAATACAATGAAGAAGAGATGAGATAAGTGTCACAGTAGAATGAGTAGAGAATAGTGATGGGAGGGGAGGGGAGGGGAGGGGGGATAGGGAGGGCAGCAGAATACAACTGACACTAGGATTGCTGTATGTATACACATGGATGTATAACCAATGTGATCCTGCAATCTGTACACGTGGAAAAATGAGAATTCATACCCTATTTGAATCAAATGTATGGTATGTCAAGATCATTGTATTGTCTTGAGCAACTAATAAAAAAAAAAAAGAAGAGGTTCCTAGGTGGAGCTCTGCAAACACTACCCAGATAAGGGGCACATGGATGAGTCTCTGCAGGAGACAACGAAAATAGAAGAAAAAACAAAGAGAACCAAAGTCAGAGAGGTAGAGGGTGTTTCAGGAGGAAATTCAGTCTTAAAAGGAAGCTGAGTGCAGGGGTGCATGCTTGTAATCCCAACTATTCAGAAGGCTGAGGGAAAAGGTTTGTAAATTCCAGGCCAACCTAGGTAATCTAGTGAGACCCTGTCTTAAAGTAAAATGAAATACAGGATTAGGGATGTAACTCAGTGGTAGTACATTTGCCTAACGTGCATATGCTTGAGGCCCTGAGTTCCATCTCCAGTAAGGCAAAAGAAGAAGAAGAAAAGGAAGAGGAGGAGGAGGAGGAGGAGGAGGAGAAGGAGGAGGAGGAGAAAGACTTTTTTTTTTTTTACTATGAAAGAAATTAGAATATTTACAGATTGAAGGGAATTTACATTCTTGAGAGAATTTAAAGATCTACATTAGAGAGGGCTAACTGCTCAGACCCTACTAGAGGCAGTAAAATGTGATCCAGCATCCAGGTGGAAGGAATGGGCTGTTAACACACTGGAGAAAATGTGACTTCACTCATTCAGTTACAGTTGCTTTTCTCTAGGACTTTATTTAGTTTTCAGATTATCTTGGCCTCCTGGGGTCTCTTTTCTACCCTCAACCTGCCTGTGAACAATCCAAAGTGATAAATATGGGACTTAGTATGATTAATAAATAATACAACTTTCTCTTAAGCACTTGTGAGCAGGTTTATGGAAGCAGATTGGAATCTAAGTGTAAAGTGAGATTCTCAGATCATATATTTTTAAAGTAGTTTGTGTGTATACTGGAGACAATGTAAGATGAATAGACACATACCTATGGAATTTTAACTTGGTATGTGTTTATATTACACAATTGCACATATGTGGTGTGTTTAGTGATGAAGAATGCTCATCACCTAGTTGATATAGAGGTCAATGCCATATAATTTTGTCTGGCCAAGAGATTTTAATTATTTATGTTAACCTCAGATACCCAAAGTACCAAAAAACAATGCTACTTTCCTAAGAATCTTAATTTATATCACAAATGACAAAGCTTTATTATAATCATCTCAAATCATGAAAAAGCTTGTTCCTTGAGTATTCAAATGACTGGAGCAGTGGGAGGGAACAAATAAATACACAGAATATTTTAACAGATGTCATTTTAAATCACCTCTGCTTGACTTATTAGCTAACCACAGGTTATAATCTCTGTTCCTGACTCTATGCCTTGCAGCAATACATTCCTCTAAAGTTTTTCACTACTCTTTACAGAACAAGCCTCGACATTTCAAAGATTAGAAAATGATGTTATGTTTCCTTAGCTTCTTTTAATACTGGTAATTGAAGAGAGATGAAAAGCTCTGGTTTATATTTATATTATTCTTCAGAAGGTGTAGTGTTCCAGGGACCAATTTTCAATGTGGAATACAACTTTGTTGGACTAAGTTTCTTCCACCATAAAGTTCATGACTGGCAGAATGTCAGCATCAAAGGATAGTTAAGGAAATATTTACCTTCTTTGTGAAAACACTTGAAAATCAGAGACCACATTTGTTTGTTTTGTAATTTTCCAAACTATAAGATACAACTATGATTCCTTCTCCCTTTAAGTAAACTAAAGTTCTTACATTTAGGTACACACTAGGCTCTGGAAAAAAAAGTCAGGACAAATTATCCCCCATGTTCTCACAGAGGCTCAGCATCCCTGCCTTCATTTCCCTACTTAGTGTAAAAGAAGTCAGGGCGATGAGTGGCCCCCATTCCCACTGCACTGAAGTTGGTGCTTCTTCTCCCACTTTTTTCCTAGCCTTGTGGGGTCCAAGATAAGAAAGTGGAAAAACTTGGTCTAAGTTTACATTCTTTGCACTGATGATGTTACAACAATGAGAGGAAGGCAGAAGGGAAGGAAGAAATTCCCTCTGCCAAGTATTTAAAAGGCACTTAGTGTTTTTCTGTGTCTCCAAAGGAAAGAAACACCAGCACTGCGTTCTGAAGTAAGAAATGGGGGAATTATTCACACTCTTGGGTTGAAAAATAAGCATTTTGGAGTCTTCTGCTGACCTAACTGGCATCGCGCTGGGGAACTCCTGGCTGCTGTTCTGTACTGGATTCCTTATTCCCCTTGGTCCTGGGCAGGTGTGGTACCTGACAAACAGGGGAAGTTGGGCTGCAGGATGCGCGGTCTTCGGACCACCCATAGAGCCCTAGTTGTGTGTGTGTGTGTTCCCCAAACCAAAGTGGTCAGGGAGATGACTTTGGTGCTTCTTGAGAAGGTTCGTGACAGGGTGAAATATGTCTCACGAGAACTCAAGACCCCAATTGTGAGGTGGAGTGGGATAAGGGTGTATCTCTCCAAGCAGCTCCGGATGGCTGGGAGCCCAGGTCCACGTGGAATCACAGCCGAGACTCACGCTGCTAACTCCCTGGACCCACATAACCCCTCCCTCACACCGCCAGACCCCTGAGGGTGTCCTGCAGCCGAAGAGCCGCAAACTGCAGACTTACCTTGACTGAACGCTAACACCAGCCTCAGCCGCAGCGGCAGCGGCAGTGGCGCGCCCCCTGCCTGTCCTGGCCGCATCCTGAATCTGTTCTGGGGACTGTAGATGCTCTGAGTTTGCAGAGAATACTCTTGATCGAGGGACAGGGAGACTGCAGAAGCTGTCCGAGGGCTTCTCGACTTGCCTGGGTAAGAGCAGGGAAAAGTTGCCTGGCAGTTCCTGCAGCGAAAGGACCCGCCCCGGCCCGCCCCTCCCGCTTTGGCCAATGCCGGATCTGCCCCTGCCACGCCCCGCCAAGTCCCAGCCCAGTGGCCCCGCAGGCTACACCTCCGCTCCTCCACACCCCCAGCACCACACCTTGATTCCCCTACATCCCCCAGCCTAGCCATCCTGGAAGTGGGAATGGGGACCTAGAGAGCCTAGCGGCCCTTTTCTGCCCTGGACAAGACCAGCTTTGCACATCCAAGAGCGCCAGTCCTCGCGCTGACCCGCCCCCTGACGACTTGTCAGCCCACCAGAGAACCCTGCAGATCCCCAGGACCACCCCACACCCTCTGCAGCCCCTTGTGGCTCTCAGTCTTACCAGGGGGAAACCTCTAACCCTACACCTACAGTTCACCTACAGTTACTGTGGGCTGAGTGGTGCGTGGCTTTCTGCCTTCCCCAAGTGGGTGGAGAACCGGATGAAAATAAGTGCGGAATGACCAGGTTAGAAACTAACTCATGAGGAAAGATCTGCTCTCAAGTTATGATTATCCGAGGTGCTATTTAAGTTAGACCTGCAACTGGAATGCCACAAAGGTGTGTGTGTGTGTGTGTGTGTGTGTGTGTGAGAGAGAGAGAGAGAGAGAGAGAGAGAGAATATCACCATTCATATCTCCCGAGATAACGAGCTGAATCGATTACTGAGTTAAATGATTTATTTCAAGACAAAAAGGAAGGGTGAGAACCCATATATGAACTGATGGCTCTTCCTCTTCCTCTATGTTTCACCATGACTGTTTTCTTCCATTCTTTCAGTCTCAGGCCTGGAATGAGAACGTTCTACAACTGTATCTGAGATATTTCACTTACAAACCTAAGAAATAGAATATTCACTTTTTATCTCTAAATCTCTTTTTCTTCCTAAAAGTTCACCCACAAATTTCCAGCACACTGATGAAAACAGAATTCTTCCAGTAACTATGTTTTGTGAAGTAACCAAATGTTCTCATAAATTAGAGTTATTTGCCTAATCATTTTTATTAACACCATTTCAAATCTTTATGGGGCAATACTCTAAGAAGAATGGGATACTACCACCAGAAGCAAAGTGGTTCCAGGTAGGAAGGACTTAATTATTTGATAAAAATAAAATGCTTTTTAAATAAAAAATAATCACAATAGGGGGTGAAGTCTTGAATTATTAAAGTATTAAACTGATATTCATCAGATGCTACTGCTTACGATCATGAGTTAATTCCACACCTTTGAACCCAAAAATACATAGCCTCAGATCCTTTCCTTTCCTGTTTTCTAATCTGTCACTTACTAATGTTACTTACTAATCCTGACTGGCAGTGAAGGTGGTTTTGTTTTGTTTTGTTTTGTTTTCCTGTCTGTGGTACTTACTTGCTTACTAAGATGCCAGCTACCACCTGAGAGCTCTTAGGTGGCCCCTGACACACAATCTCAGCTCCTCACAGACGTCTTGTGGGAAGTCAGCCAGGTTTCAGGGAGATGAATATCTGTCTGTTTCCTTCTGACTCACTGAAATGTGAGTAAGTGTTTGGAACAGACCCTTCTTTGGGAGGCAGGATGGTTCCTTTAATGTTCTTTGTCTCTGGGTGCTGGAAACCCAAATGAACCCTTCTTTGTTTTTGATCTCAGAACGGGACATATTCACATTATACTGCCATGAGATACAAAATAGATTTAGAGCTATATTTTTCCAGAGCAAGCATAAATCTTAGAAAATAAAGGGACAAATTCCTGCCTCCCATGAATTTAAAAAGCAGAAAGGGTCACTCAGACAACACAGTTTGTGAACCCCTGCTTCACCCACCTTGGAGCTAACCTGCCTAGGTATAGTTGAGTTTTACACCACATTCTGTGCAAGATGTAAGGAAGGCTAAAGCAGGTATTATGGTTTGGATATGAGGTATCCCTGGAAAGTTCTTGTGTTAATGAAGAAATATACAGAGATGCAATGATTAGATTATGGGAACTATAACCCATCTGGTCCATCCTAGTTTGAATGGACTGAGTGTTAACTATAGGCAGGTGGCTGGAGGAGGTGGGTCCCTAGGTGAGTGCCCTGGAAGGGTCATTTTTCGTGTGTCTCTTTCCCCCACTCCTGCTTCCTGGTGGCCAATAGTGGAGCAGTGCTTCTCCATCACACCTTTGTGCCATAATGTTCTGCCTCTTCTTGGATCCAGAGCAATGGAGTCAGCCTACCATGGATTGAAACTCTGATACTATGAACCAAAATTAACTTTGCCTTCTCTAAGTTTTTTTTTTTTTTTTGGTCAGGTATTTTGGTCATAGTGATGCATTAGACACTTCAAACAATTAAAGAATAGTTGCTTCTGTGAATTATTTCTATTGATGTTTATCCTGTGAGATATTAAAACAGATAATTTTCAGATATTTATTAATTGATTTTTAAAATAGCAATGAGCCCATTACATGTTAACATAAATATCATAGTTTTATAAAAACTATATTTCCTAAAATAAAATAATACATGAAAAGAGTGCATTGTTCTACATTTTTGTCAATCTTTCTAATATATGGCTTAAAAATAGACATATTGATTTTCATATATGTTTTGGTATTCACTATGTTGTGATATGTAGTTTGGCTCAAAACATACAGATTAATATAGAGTCAGAAAGATGTATATTTGGAAAAACAGTGGACAATATAGATGAATCTCTAATATTACACCAAAGCTCAACAAATATTTGTTGCTAAAATACTAGTTTCAATGTGGGATAAGAAACCATATCAATAACCATATCAATAACTTTTTCTACTTTGTGGCATTAAAAGTTATTAGCCTACTGACCACCTCCATTTTTGTCTGAGTGACTAGCACAAAAAGTATGATTTCCAGTACCCCTCATTGTGCTTACATCCTCAGGGCAAATGTCTGCTTAGTGAAAAAGGCAAATAATGCTTCAATATTGTTATGAAAATAATTTTGACATCATTGAGCACTTAAAAGGGTCTTGAGAGACCAGAGACCATATTCTGAAAGCACTCAGGCATGGAGCAAGGGCCTTCAGTCTGTTCCTTCTCTTAGCTCTTAGGAATTGTGTTAGGTCAGTTTTTTCCCAGCATTCCTTTCTGATCTCTTTTATTTTCATGTCCTGCTGGTCTTTGCTTATTTTATTCCCATGTGACAATCACTAAACAAGAAACTTCTTCTTTCCTCACAGGGCCATCAGCAGGCCAGCTGCCACCACACATATTATCCTTGGTCTCTGCCATGGCTCTCTGTGGCACCCTCCTTTTCCTGGACTTTTTCGATATTTCAGAATGACATTCTACATAATCTTTCTATGATTATTCCCCTCCCATCTCCAGTCTTCCTTTTGCACCTCTTATCACAATTTTCTTTCTAAAATGCAGGATTGATCTGCTGGAAATCTTTGGCTGTCTCTAGGATCAATTCAAGCATCTTAGCACTTAAGATCCCAGTGGAGCCCTAACCTACTTCTGCAGTCTCTGTCAGTGCATTCCTCTGGCATACTAGGTGTAGGCTTGTTTTAGTCAGCTTTTTCACTGCTTCCATCATTGAAAGACCCGACTTGAACAACTGTACAGGAGAAATGGCTTATTTGAAGGCTCACAGTTTCAGAAGTCTCAGTCCATAGAAGGTCAGCTCCATTCTTTGGGGTTCGAGATGAGGTACAACCTCATGGTAAAAGAATGTGGCAGAGGAAAGCAGATGATCAGGAAGCAGAGAGAGAGGTCTCCATGTGTCAGATGCAAATATATAGCCCATAGCCAACACCACCCCAAATTTCCACCTCCTCCAGGCTATATCCTACCACTTCTGGGATTAACTGAGTGGTAACTGATTGGTAACTGATTGTGTTAAGACTCCCACAACCCAATCACTTCTCCTCTGAACTTTCTTGCACTGTCTCACATGTGAGCTTTTTGGGGCCACCAAACCATAACAAGCCCAATTTACCTATTCACTGGCCACTTTCCCATTTTTCCTTGCTAATTCCTTAGCAGTTCCCCCCCACCAATTACAGTGGCTTCTTCTTGTACTTCATTCCTTCAAATTCTACTTTAGGGCTCTCGTTAAATTGTGTATTATTTGCCCACCTCTTGATTCCCCTAACTTTTGTTCCCCCAAATAATCTTTTTTAATGTATTATGGTATGACGAATTTAGTTATATGGGTATAATCCATCTTCTCATTTAAACACTAAATCTCTGAAACCTTATTTGAATCACGAGTCTAATCTATACTTGGTCAATAATAAATTCCTATTAAATAATTACTACTATGAAGGGAATTTCCTAACAGTTTCACATTTTTCTCCTTAGACCTAAAAAAGGATAGTGAATGTGAAATTCTATGTAAGTCCTGGAAAACTAGAAATGAAGTAACCAGTGACTCCTGAAGTATTTTTGAATAAATGTAAGACATGACTGAGGAAAGCTCAGAATCCACTAAGCTCCACTCACCCACAGGTCTTCAGGTACTGGCTGAGTCATAAAATATTCCAAAGTAAAAGAGAGCTTCCATTTATAACAAACAAAGGACAAACAAAAATACAATTCTATGTCCCCCACCTACAAATTTCATTCATGCTTCTATTCTAGCTCCCCTGGGGTTGACTATTCTTATCTCTTAAATGTATGACAGATGTGTCAAGAAATCTGCCAGGTCTACCCATGGTGCTTTCTCAGAGTCCCCTGCAACTTGTCTCTGGTAGTTGTTGAGTCATATAACCTCACCTCCCACTGACTGGGGGAGTCACCTGATCCAGACTGAATCTATCAGGTTCTTTCTTCCAAGAAATTGTATTCAGGATATAGAAATGCTAGAGTCTTTGCCGACCACATGGGCTAAGAATTGGTGTTCTCCTGGGGCAATCAGTTTTCTTTAATGAGTATGGAAAGAGCCAATCTGCAGTTATAGGATGTAGAGATACAGAGATGAGAGGCTTTCTTTTCTTAACAAGGAACTGAGGTCAGGGTGAT